TGGCCACTGCACTCCAGTCTGGGCCACCGAGTGAGACTCTAACTCAAAAAAAAAAAAAGTTTATGTGAATATTCAGTCAAAAGCAACAGAGTATCGCCCTTGAAATGTTATCTATATGGATTTCCAAGTAGACCACAGGACTGTATACTATCTTGTAATGTCCTCAGAAGGCTCTGTCATTGAGCAGGTAACAGAGCAAAAACCCCAGAGTCCTTTCTTTCAAATGGAAGAGGAAAAGACAGAGGGACAGAAGCTATTCAAACTTCATCTTCTTTTCTTGTAGCTTGTGGTCGCCTTCACCTCCTCTGCCTCCTCTGAAGCCTCCTCTCCCTCCAAAGCCTCCCAGCCTCTGCCACCAAATCCACCTTGGCCTCTTCTGCCACCACCTCGGCCTCCAAAGCCTCCTCTGCCTTCACCATGACCTCCAAAGCCACCTTCTCCCTTAGGCTTGGGTCAGTCCAAGGTAACATTGCTTCCATCTATTTCACCATCTTCCATCGCCTCCTTGGCTGCTTTGGCTTCTTCCTCACTACTGAAGTCTATAAAACCAAACCCTTTGCAGGATCTGGTTTCCAGGTCAGTGCCTATCCTTGCCCGGACAGAGCCATCAAATGACTCCTTTAACATCTCTTTGGTGGTATCCTCAGACAGACCTTTGACAAACAGAGTTTTGGATGGCTGGCTTCTGGCATTAGATGATCCCCCGGGCCCTTGCAACTCCAGCCTGATTGTTCTGCCCTCAATTTCCTTTTTATTACAGGAATTTAAAGCTTCTTTAGTATCTTCAAATGATGCAAACTCTATAAATGCATACCCTTTAGATTTGCCATTTTGGTTCTGGGGCATTTTGATAAAAGTTGCCTTCTCAAATACTTCCTGAAGGATTTCTTCTATTGCACCGTAGGAAAGATTGCTTAAAACCAGAGTTTTTGATTCACCTCTCCAAGTGCTATTCTTTCCACATCTATGGTCTTGACTTTGACCTTTCTCTCCAGTGTAGGACAGGGAAATAGATCGTTCTTCAATCTCTGTTCCCTGCTTTTCTTAGGATTTATCTGGATCAGCTTCTGTCTTAAATTCAATATAAGCAATCCTTTTACTCTTTCCATCCTTGCTGACCAATATGATATCCACAGCATCTTCAAACACTTCTTTCAATTCATCCTGAGTGACTTTGTAAGGGAGGTTGTTGGCCAAAAGGGTTCTTGCATCTCGATCTTTCTTACTGTCTTTTCCTTTTGGCTTCTCTAGTTTAATTTCATTGCCAAAGACTTTCAAGCCAGTGAGATCCAAGGCTTTTTCCAGGTCTTCAGCAGATTCAAAGTCCACATAGCCAAATTTCCTGGTCATACCAATTCTGACATCCACAACGGCAAGATCATTTTTAGCAAAAACATCACTAACACCAGTTTTTAGTTCAGCGGCAGACTTGTTAAAGTTCAGGTTTCCAACAAAGAGATTGAAAGCTGTAGTTGGCTCTGTGGCTTCTACTTTCTGTTTCTTGGCTTCAGGAGCTGCTTTCTGTTTGACCATTTCTTTCTTTCGTTTTCCAGGTGCTTCTTTGACAGACTTTTCCTCCTCTTCTTCCTCCTCCTCCTCCTCTTCATCATCATCATTCTCATCCTCTTCATCATCATCCTCATCTTCATCCTCATCATCTTCCTCTTCATCCACAGCCACGCTCTTAGCTTTCACAGGAATAGCCTTTGCAGAAGCTTTCTTACCTCTGACCAGTGTAGTAGCCATGGCTTCCTCCTCAGAGTCATCTTCCCCTTCATTGTCTTCATCATCCTCATCCTCTGAGGCAGGAGTAGCAGCTGCTGCTTTTGTCGCCGTTGGTTCAAATTCATCCTCTTCCTCCTCATCTTCATCATCATCCTCATCCTCATCACTGTCTTCCTTCTTGGCATTCTTACCGTTCTTCGCCCTCTTTGCTGGGGTGGCAGCTTCCTTCTTACCAGAGGTTGCTACAATGCCTTCCCTGGTGTGGCTCCCTTCTTGCCAGGAGTCACGACTGCTTTGGCTGGTGTAATTGTCTTCTCAGTTGGTATGGCAGCTGCTTTTTTGCCTAGGGTGACAACTGCTTTCTTGGCCAGCGTGGGTGGCAACTGCAGGCTTTTTTGTTGAGGAAACCACCACTTTCTTTACTGGGGTTGCAGTAGACTTCTTGCCTTTCTTCTGAGGGATGATAGCCTCCTCTCCACTGCTATAATCTTCTTCATCTTCTGACATTTCCTCATCTTCACTATCTTCTTCTAACTCCTTCAGAAGAGGAGCCATTTTCTTGGAATCCCCTTGATTTTTACCTGCCTTAGCGAGCTTCACCATGATGGCGGCTTATGATGGCATTGTGTAGTGGGCAAGTGGCAGATGAACCCAGAGGAACCTAAGCGACGTCGATGGCAGCCGCGGGTACTGAAGATCCTGGAGCACGTACGCTTGGCTGCCAGCTACTGCTCGAGACTGAGGTGAAAGACTCCCATCTTTCTTAATTGCCTGGAATGCTTTCAAAAGGATTGGTATCAGCTTCTCCTTGTGCATTTTGTAGAATTCTGCTGGAAAACCATCCAGTCCAGGGATTTTTTCTGTAGGTAATTTTCATATGACAGAGCCAATTTCCTTGGTTGTTATTGATCTATTTAGTGTCCCAATGTCTTCTTGTTTCAACCTGGGGAGATTGTGTGATGTCAGAAAGTCCTCCATTTCATTTAGGTTATTTATTGAGTTTGTTTCCATATAGGTGTACATAATAATCTCTGATACTCTTTTGTATTCTTTCAGGGTCAGTTGTGATTTAATCTTTTATATTTCTGATTGTGTTTATTTGGGCTTTTTCTCTTTTTCTTGGTCATTTTGGTTAGGGGTCCATCAATCTTGTTAATTCTTTCAAAGAACCAGTTTTTTGTTTGGTTGATGTTCTCTATGATATTTTTGTCTTCTATGTCCTGTATTTGAGCTCTTATTTTGGTGATTTGGATTCTTCTGCTGAATTTGGGGTTTTGGTGGTCTTCTCTTTCTAGCTCCCTTAGTTGATTTGTTAGGCTCTCCACTTGTGATCTTTCCCTTTTCTTGATGTGTACTTGTAGAGATATAAATTTCCCTCTTAGAACTGATTTCATGGCATCCCAGTGGTTTTGGTAAGATATTTCTTCATTTTCATTTGTTTCCAGGAATCTTTTAGTTTCTGCTTTGATTTCAGTGTTGACCCAGTAGTTTTTCATCATCATGCTGTTTAGTGTATGTGTCTTTGTGGACTTTGGGGAAATGTTGTTGATGTTAATATTTATTTTTATTCCACTGTGGTCTGAGAGTGTGCATGGCAAGATTTCAGTCTTATGAATTTGATTATGCTTGATTTATGGTCAAGGATGTGATCGATCTTGGAGTACATTCCTTGTGGTGGTGAACAGAATATATATTCTGTGGTTGTTGGATGGAATAATTCATAGGTATCTATTAAGTCCATTTGGTCAAATGTCAAGTTTAGTTTTCTGGATCTCCCTATTGATTTTTTTTGCCCTGATTATCTTCTAGGGCTGTGAGTGAAGTATTCAAGTCCCCTGCTATAATAGTGTTAGAGTCAATATTTTTTTCTGTTTACTTAGTATTTGCCTTATAAATGCTGGTGCTCCTGTGTTGGGTGCATATATGTTTAGGATGGATATTTCTTGCTGATGGATTGAATCTTTTATCATTATGTAGTGTCCTTTTGCATCTTTTAAAATTTTTGATAGCTTAAAGGTTGTTTTGTCTGATATTAAGATCACAACTCCTGCCTTCTTTTGTTATCCATTTGCCTGGAAACTCATTTTTCATTTTTTGAGTCTGTGTGCATCCCTTGTAATGAGATGAGTCTCCTGGAGGCAGCAAATAATTGGGTCATGGTTTCTTATCCAGTTTACCATTCTTTGTCTTTTCAGTGGTGCATTTAGTACATTTACATTCAAGTTGATTGTTGAAATGTGATTGTTTATTGCTGTTATGAGGTTCTTATAATGAAATACCTTGGCATCTTCCTAACCAGAGACATGAAAAACCTTTACCATGAAAACTACAAAACACTGCTCAAAGAAATCAAAGATAACACAAACAAGTGGAAAAATATCCCATGCTCATGGATTGGAAGAATCAACATTGTGAAGATGTCCATCTTACCTAAGGCAATCTACAGATTTAATGCAATACCCATCAAATTACCAGCAACATCCTTCTCAGATCTAGAAAAAACAATACAGGAATTCATATGGAAACACAAGCAACCAAGAATAGCCAGAAGAATCCTCAGCAAAAAACAAAACAAAACAAAACAAAAAGCAAAAACAAAAAAACAAAGCAGGAGGTATTACACTACCAGACTTTAAACTTCACTATAAAGCTACAATAATCAAAACAGCCTGGTATTGGTACAAGAACAGACATATATACCAATGGAATAGAATTGAGATTCCAGAAGCAAGAGCTCAATTTCTCAACCAACTCATCTTCGACAAAGCCTCCACCACCCACCACCGGGGACAGGAGAACCTATTCGGTAAATGGTGCTGGGAAAACTGACTGACCACATGCAGAAGATTCAAACAGGACCCCTATCTATCCCCATACACAAAAATTAACTCTAAATGAATCAGGGACCTAAATGTAAAACCTCAAACCATAAGAACTTTAGAAAATGTAGGACACACCCTTATGGAAGATGGAACTGGCATCCAATTCTTGAGCAAAACTTGAAATGCACAGGTCATAAGAGATAAGATAGACAAGTGGGACCTCAATAAACTGACAGACTTCTGTAAAGCCAAAGAAACCATCAAGAGAACAGGGAGGCAGCCCACACACTAGGAAAAAGTATTTGCCAACTCCATATCTGACAAAGGCCTAACATCAAGGATCTACAAGGAACTCAAACATGCTGAAAAGAAAAAAACAAAAAACCCATTACAAAGTGGGCAAAAGATATGAACAGACACTTCTCAAAAGAAGACATACGAGCAGTCAACAGATACGTGAAAAAATGTTCAACCTCACTAGTCATCAAGGAGATGCAAATTAAAGCTACACTGAGATACCACCTAACTCCAGTCAGAATGGCCATCATCAATAACTCAAAAGATAACAGATGCTGCAGAGGATGTGACAAAAAAAAAAGAACACTTCTACACTGTTGGTGGGAGTGTAAGCTAGTACAGACTCTGTGGAAATTAGTGTGGTCATTCCTAGAAGCTCTAAAAATCGACCTTCTATATGACCCCGCAATCCCCCTACTGGGAATATACCCTGAGGAACTCAAAGCACTCTATAAAAAAAGATACCTGCATATATATGTTTATCACAGCATTGTTCACAATAGCAAGATCATGGAACCAACCATGCTGTCCATCAAAAGAGGACTGGATTTAAAAATTGTGGCACATATACATAATGGAATATTATGCAGTCATAAAAAAGAACAAAATCATGAATTTTGCAGCATCCTGGATGGAATTAGAGATTATAATACTGAGTGATCTCTCACAGAAACAAAGATCTGATCATCACATGTTCTCACTCATAAGTGGACCTTGAACAACTATCATAATACTATAAGAAAAGGATTGACAATGGTGGGAAACTATGGGGGAGGCAGGGAGGGGAAGAAAGGTGGGATTAGTGGTAGTCAATATCTATCTGGGGAAAGGAGGGCACACCTCATCAACAAGGGTAACTACACAATGAATATTTGTATACCTAACCCTCAACTGTACCTCACAACTTTAAAATAAAAAATATATATTAAAAAATTAAAATTTTTAAAAAAGTTTTTTCTTTGTTTGCTTGTTTTCTTTTGACTTTGGGGTTAATGTTTGTATGTATTTTCAAGTTTCTTATTGCACTGTATTCTCTGTTAATTCAGTGCTCTATTGTTCTCTTGGGAGGTTTGTGATCATTCTTTTTTTTCTTTCTTCTGTGCTTAATACCTTTTTAAGTGTCTCCTGTAGAGCTGGTCTGGAAGTTGCATAATCTCTTAGGGATTGCATGTCTGGAAAGGATTTTAATTCTCCATCACTGATGAAGCTGAACTTGGCTGGATAGGAAATTCTTGGTTGAAATTCTTTATTAACTTTGAATATAGGGCTCCAGTCCCTTCTTGCTTGTGTTTCTGCCAATAGGTATGCTGCTATTCTGATTGGTTTCTCCTGGTAGGTAATCTGACCTTTCTCTCTTGTTGCCTTTAGGATTTTTTCTTTTGTGCTTACTTTGTGTAGGTGAATTACTATGTGTCTAGGGGTTGGTCTTCTCATTTGATGTCTAGTAGGGGTTCTCTGTATCTCTTGTGCTTGGCTGGTCACATCTCTGGTGACATGGGGAAACTTTTCTTGGATTACCTCCTGGAATACTTACTCCAAGTTGTTCTCCATTTCCCTTTCTTCTTCTGAGATACCAATCAGGCATAGGTTTGGTCTCTTGATATAATTGCACATCTTTTGTAGACTTTACTCTTTCTTTCTGAATCTTCTTTCTGTGTTTTTTACTGGTCATGTTAATTCCATGTTCTGGTCTCCAAGTTCTGAGATTCTGTCTTCAGTTGGATTAATTCTGCTTTCCATGCTTGTCATCTTGTTATTTATTTCCTGGATGAAATTTTTTATTGCCAAAATCTCTGTTACAAGTTCTTTCAGTGTTACATCTTGTCTTCCTTGAGTCTTATTCACTCTTTCCATCCATTCCCTAATCCCTGTTGTATTCTGGGGCCAGTCATTGGTGACTTCCATTGTTTGGAGAAAGGTCTTACTTTTCAGGGGTTTTGTCTTTGGTACACTTTTGTCTTTGGTACACTTGAAATTGTTTGAGGTCTTCCTTTGGTTTTTCCTCACCTGTGACAGATCTCTTGTTTTTCTCTATAGTTCTGCTATTCAGTGTCAGTGGGAGAGGCTTTCTCCTCTGATGTTAGCTCAGTCTCCTATTCTTCCCTGATCTGGACTCTGGATTTGTTCTATTTTGAAATAGGATAGTTGATTGGAAGCTTTGCTGACTCTCGTAGTTTTTGAAATTTGAATAAAGTAGAGGATGGGATGCTATGATTCAGAAGTTACTTGCAAATTACAATATTCACTTATTGTGGTATGTGTTCCCTGAGATTCATGCCCCACCACCACTCTAAATGACTATGCAAGGCACAAACCAACATAAAAACAACTTAGATCACACAGACATGGACACGCATACACACCCCAAAACAAACTGGGATAACAGCAAAGTGAAACAAAACAAACAAACAACAACAAAACAAGAAAATTAAACACACACACACATGCCTAGCGTAAAGTAACAGAAAGACCAGTGGTAGGAACAAA